AAATTACTTTGATAATGTTGTACGATGCTAATAATATTAATACCATGATTTAGTACCAAGATATATTTTGTACTACAAATTGGCAATATAAATAAATTATATGCAAATCACTGCTATTGGTTAGAATGGTTAGATCATTGGTTTATTAGGTTTGTACCATATACGTTGGTAATTTTATTATAGTAACTATTTTTATTATTTATCTCTATACATTCGTATCTATATATGATATATCTCACCACAGTCTACTAGTATCGCTTAATATTTTCAAACGATGTACCTAGATATAATAGTATAAAGTTTTGTTTTTCTTAAAACGTTCGCTATAAMATTTTTATAATAGGTACGTTATTAATTAATATTTTAAAAGTCAATATCTTTTGTCTAAATAATATTTTTTTTTTTTAACAAACAATATTTTGTTAAAAACTTTAAACCTCGAATCAAATTAAAAGGCTACTTACTCTCAACGTGAGTATTCTGGGTAACTGTTGACTAAGTTCACTGCTTGGACTAAGCCTAGCGAGCGGTGTGCTTTGGTGTTGCATGTGATTGGTAGAATCCAATGGCGGAGGTGGTGGCGGTGCAGCTGACCGACTATCTCTGGAATGTGGTGATTGAAAGCCAGTCGCGTGTCGCATTTGTTTGTGATACATGTTAGACGGCATCCCAGGACTAAGATGAGACTTCATTTTCCGTAAATTGTTTCCATCTCGGTAACCTAAACAGTCAACATGACGTCATATTTTACAAATAAATGTATCAAAAACATTTCGGAATCAAAAATGAAAGTAATTTATTATTTTTTAGAAAAATCATTGTTCAGAATCAAAAAATAACAGCATTCATTAAAATAAATGCATGATAACTATTGCCATACGTCTAAAGATAAAAAATAAAACTTACGTTCGAATAAATAATGCGTTTCAATTAAATTATAWGGTTAATGCAAAAACACTTAACGAGTGAATTAAGATAATAAGTRTAATGACCAATATTTTAATTTAATACTCACAGAGTATATATTATATATTAAATGATATTCAAATCAATTATAGAACTAAATATGCATAGAGTATACATAAAAGCAATTTCACATATCGTGTTTGGATTTACGTTTCATTAACTCACGTTAATGAAAATCTCGTATTGGTGTTTAAATAAATAATTTCATGGGATTAAAATGGTTTAAATAATATTAATTTATCGATGTAATGTTTTTGAACACATACTTTTATAGTGATAGACAATATCTATATCTGACGGTGCTATAGAGCTGGCGTTTTCTAGGTCATAGTGTTCAGGCATATCGTGATCCCCAGTCACACTATCGTGCTGATGCATATTCTTCATGTGCTGATTGAGCTCGTCTCTTTGTGGTGGCGGAGATTTTCCCACAACCTCCCTTTCAATTATATCCGGTCTATGTGGCCTATGTGTATCATTCATACCAATGTCTTGATCTTTATAGCGCTTGGAAAGTATCTCCGGTGGCACCATATGATGCCGTATTACATCTCCAGTTTCTGACATAAACGATGACACAGGTATTGTGTTCAGAGCTGGAGATTCAGAATGGAGACCACTTTGAAAATGATCTTTACCACTATCAGAATCTTTATCACATTTAGTTTGTCTTCGTATTTTAAACACGACAAAACTTATTGTTATTGCCATCAATAATATAACGAAAAACACGATAACCAACGTTATTCCTAGGCTAAGCGGRTCAGTAACAGCAATACCAACTGATGCTAGCCCGGACAGATCACAATCGAATGATATATTTCCAGTATGAAAAACTTCTGGAAATATACTTCCAGTTCCATTAAATGGTTGAAGTTCTTTATTGATTGTTAAATTAGCTAAGCAGCCTGAAAAACCTGAAAAAAWTTTWAAAAATTAGTACCACAGTAGTATTAACACCATACTTGTAAAAAGTAGGTACACTCAAAAAAATTGTATTAATCAGTTTAATAAGTTGATATAAATTCATCAACATTTTTTAACTTAATGAATTTATTTTATAACTTAGGTCACGAATTTCTTTAATATTTACTAACTGAAATTTATTATTGTTTAAATTAAAACAAAAACTCACTTGAAGTATCAATTTTTCCAGAGACATATTCACGATCGACACCACCTAGATACATTTTAGTTAGATATGGATCCAAAAAATCGTGCACGCTGGCTGAATCCAATTCTTCTCCAACTTTTTGACCATTCAAAAATAATTTCAAGCTTTTAGCGCCTATTACCATTGTTAAATTATGCCAATTTCCATCATCTACATTTTTTTCTACTGACATATTCACAGTAGACGTCGAAGTACTTAAAAACGATGAATAGAGTAGTTTACCATTTATAAGCTAAAAAAAAATTATAACTATAAATATTAAGATCGATTTTTTTAAGTATAATATTTACTTTAACTAGCGTAAAATCTGAATTGGAAGCTGCAAAAAGTATGGTAGCATTTGATTTCATTGTTCTAAACATCAGACTTAGTTCTTTAACTGGGGTTACAATAAGTGAACTTCTCTTAATTCTAGACTCTTGTCGCCATACTGTTGTTCCATTATAAATTGATTCCAATAAATGCATTCTTCTGTGCTTCTCTGTGATTTTGTACTCGAGGAACGAACCTTCGCCCAACGAGACTGGTTTAAATGCTTGAAAACAATTTGGCGATAGTACATCATTATCTTCACATTTRCACATAACACCATTCCATCGGTCCAAACAAGAAGATCCTTCACCACATAGTGTTGATGATTGAGCACAAAGGCCTTGGCGATTACAGAACGGATCGACAGCTTTGGAAGATATTGGACTACTAAGGTTCATACCATAGCCATTAATAGTAACACTATGCACGCAACCAACAAAATCGTCCGATCGTATTTGTCCGGGTCTTTCTAATAAGGGATCAGCTGAAGTAACTCCACCAATTAACAAATTATTTCCATTAAAATTCAAAGTTCTGAAACACATTTTAAAATTATTTTAATACAAACAATACAAATATATTAGATTTATCATTTAATGAATACATACCCTACGGTTCCTGTATTATCACTATAACATGATTTATCCGATGGTCTGCATTCTTGACAATTGTCTCCATTATCRATACACGATGCAACACTCAATGATAGGACTTTACCATTCCKCACAGCAGTTATCTTATACCACTGACTATCGGCCAACGAAGATCCATCACTTTTTCCAACACTAACARTAGTTATAGAGCTTCTAGCGCCACCGTATGAAAACACGCATTTCCCTTCGATCAACTCAATTGCTATAAAATCGGATCTTCCTCCAACCTGAATTCCATAATTGTATAACAGTAAAGAGTCCGGTTTAGATGTAGAAAAAACGATTGTAATATCATTAGTTATACTGTCCAATGACGGGAATGACATATATGAATACTCATTAAATCCAAACGATGACTTATCGCAATGCCTTCCATGCAAGCCATTCGGGCAATTACACTTATATCCAGGTTTCAAAGAAACACAAGATCCTCCATTTAAGCATGGGTTAGGTCGACATGAATCAGCTGATAATTCGCATATGTTTCCTCGATATCCCGGTCTGCATAAACAAAAGTATCCAATGTTGTCTTGAGTTTGTTTACAACTACCGCCATTCATACAAGGGTTGTTGTCGCATTTATCGTAACGCTCTTTTTCGCATTCTAGGCCTTCTCTATCTGAAGGGCAGAAACACTGATAACTTATGCCTTGTCTTCTACAAGTACCTCCGTACTGACAAGGATTTGGTGCACATGGATCTTGGCGTTTGTCACATTTTTTTCCTGCATATCCTTCGGCACAGGTACAAAAAAATTCTTGTAGTATAGTGGGTGAAGTAAAAATAAAATCTTGAGAATTTGTTACGCGTGGTTCTTTCGATATAACTAGAGATGTAGAACAATTTCCATAATTTTCACAAGTATTCTTTAGACATGGTGAATAATCGAAGAAAACTGGCAAYCTTGTTGTTTGTGTAATGATATTTGATTTACTCCTTAAAGCGTCGTTCGTATATTCTTTAGTCAAACCTCTTACAGCTATAGCTACTTCAATACCATCATCTACTTCGTTAATACTGTACAACAGAGGTTCGTTATCTTCAAATGTTGAGTTTAATACATTTATAAATTTCGTATAATGGTTTTCAATAAAACCCGAAGAAGTGATATTTTCAATTCTCGTRAAAACAGTATTTTCTATTATATTCTTATCGATTGTTTGGTATTCTACTTTAACAATATTAGTGACAGAATCATGTTTGCCATCATTACCAGACACATGAAGTACAGTAACTGGTTTAGAAATACTATTGATATGTAAATCACAGGATTCAGGAATAAAAAAATCGTTGTTTGTTTTTTCGAGATAACATTTATAATCTCCCGCTGTATCAGGATCAATAGGTCTTACATCTGCAACTTTTCCTACAGGATATTCATTTTTGATTGAATAAATGAGAACATTTACTGATCTTGGACTAGATGGACAGTCATTTTGATCTAAAATTACGACGTTCAATAGATTTTCAGTTGTAATTTGAGGAGAACCATTATCTGTGATTGAAATCTAAAAAAAAAACCAAACAATGCCATTGATTACATAAATAATGTTTTGAAAAAGTTTTAATTTAAAATAATTAAAATAATAATGTTTATACTTTGTTGTTGAAGATTATATTCACTATAAAATAAAATGTTTTTAATATTTAACACCCAAATATTATTTTATTTTAAAT